TTAGTGCAATAAAATTCTTAATAGGACACAATTCTTAAAACGACGGAATGTTGGATTCACAGTGATGTCATCCCAATGCTAATATGTCAATGACGAGTGCAATTTGAGCTCGGTCAGACATTCTTTGATTCGGAGAATCAGGAGATACCATTTGCAACATAAGTATGGATAAGGAATGACTTACTACAAAGATTTGGTTTCGTTTGCTAACGATAATTTTGTTTTAAAGCACGCACAGAGTTTTTCCGTTCGTATTTCCTAAATATTTTATTCGTAATCTCATATTAGCATTAATTTAATGCGTATGTAGTGATTATATTCTCTTTGATGTTAAGTCATTAAACAAAAATGAAAAAAATTACTTCCATTTTAAACACATTCAATTTTATTTCAGATCCACTAACTATAGTGTTGTAGGTATTTTAACTTAGGTTGTATTTGCAAGTGAGCTAGTGAAAGAGATCCTATTGTTTTAGATAAACCAAATGACAAATGTGTTTGGTGCTCTTTTGACGCCCATATTCTATAAAAAATGTAAGCCATCTTAATTTTCATTATTGTGTTAAATACTTGTTTGAAGGGCTTGTTTTACACTTTTTTAGCATTTGCGCTATCATTATTATATCATATGGGATTCAACTTTTCGATTTCCCATTTTCAATTTTTCATATATAGTTCAAAATCGCCATCTAGCCTTATTTTCTGTTACCAGCGCAAAAACAGTTACAGTTTGGACAACATCCAAGTTATATTGCTTCAAACGCTGACACAATAGATGTCGCTTATTGTATTCATGAATACAGTGTGCGTCAATAGATAACGCTACTGATAGCGTAGTCCCTTGACCCTCGTCTCGCTTGACGATCAACGGTAGCTTATCTTATTTGACGGTTTGTAAATAAGTATAACAGATCAGATATACAGTAAAAATCTTATGAAACTGACATACTTCGCAGCGAAAGAAATAGGCGTTCTAAAGTTATTTTATATAATATTTTAGGCTCCGTTATAGCAATATGTTACAGTGTCGGTATATGAAAGTCACCAATTAGTCACTAAATCTTAAAATAGAATTCACGTCTCAGACACGAACAAAAATGGTGCAAAAACGCAAAAAATAAAAGGTTGCTAGCTTCAATTCAATCTGGAATCCTACCAAAAAAAAGTGCTATATATTGTAAAACAATTAAGTCACTAATTATTATCACCTAAGACTGATACAATAAAGTTTAGTATGTCGGTGGGGAGGATTCCAGCTTGAATAACGTCGGTCTTATGGTCCAATTTTGAATTCAGAAGGTAGCAACTGTGTAGAATATTATGTTGCCGCAATATACGTACTAACAACGAGGCACTCGCTTATTCCTACTTTCTTAAGATCAGTTTATTGCTGTAATCCTTGAAAACATAGAGACAGTTATTGCACACGGACAGGGTTACCACATGGAAAATTGAAAAGTCCTGACAAATAACCCGATTTCCATAGAAAAACCCTGACAATTTGTAGCAAATATAATTAACAAGCATAAAAAAGAAACAAATCAATTATTGGTTTTGTGCACTCTCGCTGATCACAGATACGTCGCAGATTACACCCCTCCCCTGCAAAAACTTACTGTATTTAGTTGAAAAATCGAAAAATCCTGACATTTCCTAAATCCTACCTTAATCCTGACAAGAGCCCAGAAGTCTTGACATGTCAGGACAGATCCTGACATATGGTACCCCACATACGTATCCCAAATTTATGTATATATATTCGATTTGGCACCTATAGTGACTGCGGAAGAGAAATATTGATCGCTCAGTAGTCGCGTAACGGAATTTAATACCCCATATCATCCCGTTTACCAAGCGTGGCAACTGTGGCAAATATCACCTCTATGAAGGTATGTAATGAATAATTTAAGTAATTACTTGGTTGCGAAATTAGCTGATTCGAACCCGATACTTAGTGCTTATAGTATCGTACCTAATTAATCATGACGATAATTTAGATTTGAACCACTGTCCCAATCTGTCAGTATGAATTATAATAACTCCGCACTGCATCAGTTTTGGTGTAAAGGGTGGAATATGCCAACTTTTTCTCGACATACATATGTTTGAAGAATGAGGCCCTGATGGCGAAAAATCGAAAAAATGCCTAGCCTAAATTCCACTGATTGGGCATGCGGGGCTTGCACCAGTGCAAGAGTCCAGTCTTAATGCGGCATTATGTTGCCATTCATAGCATGGCAACATAATGACGCATTCTTGAAATTGCCTATGTCCCGTTGTGGACTTAAAAGAAGCTTTACGATGAAGTTATCTAAATAATATACATGGTAGATCTATATAACAGACGTGGTAGTGCCATGCTGCAGCTATGGTTATAGCACGAATGGGACGGCTCGACCGGGGAAGGACCACGCTCTCACGGAATACCATCTTAAAATAGCAGCTTAATACTGCTGTGTTTCGTATGGTGAGTGTAGAGAACCGGAGACCTGTTTTACTGGAATAGAGGCATTCCATCTTAGTCCTGCATCTACATTTTGATTCTTAATCGAGGTTAAATGATTTATGTGCAATTTATGTAATTAAAAATGCCCCCAAGATATAGAAAAAAAACCCTAATGGAGGGTTTACGTTATACGTTAATTTGACTCTAATGAAAGACCACTCTGCCACAGAACAAACGCAAAAAGTATTAAAAACCTATTGTGACTTGAATGGTCATAGGAGAGCAAAGATAATCATAGACCAAGAGCTTAGTTACTGACAGTGAGCCCTTACACCAGTTTTTCAAGGGTGTTGTACCTATATTTTATATTTCATCGATTACGGGCGACATAACGGTTATATGTAGCGGTGACCATTCACCTTGCTCCAATTAAACAGACCTTAAAATGATTCATAACTCCATCGTTCAGACATTAATAAGTCATTTCATAATACATGATTATTTTCAACGACATCAAAAACCTCAATAAACACACTTTTTTACACTTTATTATTGACCAACGTGGGACCATCGCCAGTTGCGGCTGGCGTGGCTTATATTCCCACGGCAGTTTTATATTATTTACTATAATTTATTGAGGTCAAAGTAATAGTTTTATTTTAATTTCCTCAATATTATGATTCAATACCCTTGTTATTGTTTTAAGGGGAAATATAACCTCAAATGGCTTAGCAAGATCCTTCCTTATGCCGAAAATTTGCAGCATTAATTTTGAAATAAATATATGGTAAAGTTGAGGATTAATGTTAAGGACTATGTTAGACGAAAACACGATTCCGTAAAATTTTCTCGATAGAAAAAAAAATCCAAAGTTACCTCCAAACTGAACAATAAACCGCTGTTATTCATAAAATACTTTAAATAAGATCATGAAACTTTGCATACTAACTGAACTAACTATAAAGCAGTGCTTATGTTATTTACTTTTTTAATACCATTATTTTCACTGTAAAAAGAAATTACCTAAACTATCGGCGTCTTGAAGCTTGATTTCTGCCGCCCGGTTAGTATCGCTTTGGCTTTTGAAGGGGGAAGTTGTGTCGCTTACGATCAGAATACACGTTATGCAACAGGACGGCGTTAAATTAAAATGGGAAATAACCGTAATAAAAATAAGAAGCGACTGGGTTGGCGTTAATAAACAGGCATAAATATGATAAACCTAACGAAATCAGTATCTAACGACCTATCTACTTACAGTATTAGTGATTACAAATATGTCGGTACATAGCATACGTCGCGCGGGGAAGTGGGGGCGAAATTAGAATTTGAGCTGACTTACTATATCCCCTTAACTGCTGATTGAGATAGAGATATAGAGAATTCTGCAAGGCTTGTTAAAATCACATTCGTGTTGTTTATATCAAATATTAAATAAAATTGGAAATAATAAAGTAGTTAAAAACCTACGTTATCGCCACTAACGAGAAGGACATATTCCTTCTCGTTATTATGAAAGTCCCTTGTACACTTGGACAAATTATTATAAATAATAGTCCAACGGAAATGCATTTTACTATATTATAATATCGGTTTTAAAATAAGCGTTTAAGTTGTGGTCTGATTTGTTTATAATTATTGCGCAAGAATAGAATCAACCCAGCCATATTATTTTTTTAAATCAACTGTATATGTACGAAAATTAATATACTTTTTAATTATTTTTGTCGTAATCCTGGTCACATATATTTTATTAACCAACTAATTTTTAAAAGAAAGTCTAATATTAAAAAAAATATACAATTTAGATTGTATTACAAGTATTTTAACGTCTGAATGTTTTATCCTTATGTAATGTATGTATGTAAACTGCCTTCACGATATAAGAGAAAATTCTAGTGTGGGGTGACGTATTTTTAAACTTAAAAAATATTATTAATCATCATCTTCATTATCATCATCAGCCTGCGCCAGTCCTCTGGAACCCAAAGCTCGCTATTTAGTCCAATCCTCGGCTACACGCGTCCCGTTATTGGTAGCCTTCTCTAGTCAACAAGTATCCATTAATCCACCCAAACATTACGTTTACCCAATCGCAGTCTGCACTTCATGACACGTCTACTTCGATGGTTGTCACTTCTACGACAAATCGAACAAGCCCATTGCCGCTTCAGTTACTTACAAACACAGAAGGATATTTGTTACTTAGGTTCTCCGACGTATTTCTTTATTACTTACACAACAGACAAACCGACCGTACATGTTTCCTTCGCTATAGTAGAGAGAGTAACTAGTAGTAAGAGTAAAAGTTGATGAATGATCAAGCAACTTTGATAACAAGGAACTGTATGTTAGTAAAGTATTGATACGTTGTTTGCCAGCTGTGTTTTATGGTCAGCATGTGTAATACCTTCTGTGCTCCAAAAACATCATAGAAGAGGCCTTTACCCAATAACACGTATATATATAGGACACGAAATATAGAAAATGTAGTATATACTTCCTGTACTACGAATATGGCATTAAAATATACACGAATTTAATCTTGTTGCAGCCCACGTATCAGAACACAACGACCATTCACGAAAAGGTCGTTCCATCCAAATACACCACAACCCAAACGAGCTACGCCAGCCATTCTCCAGGGTACACAAACAACCAGACCACCGGTTACGGCAGAACTACTGGCGGCAGAGGTAACCTGTCCGAGTTGGACACATTGCTGGACGATTTGAGCAACGCACGGTACGGGAACTATGTTGAGAAGACAACGTACAATGAAAGGAATGGTGAGTTTAATTTAATTTTTTTTTATTTTGGTAGCTTTCACAATCCACTGTTGGATAAAGACCTTCTCTTAAATGCACCCTACGTTTAGGGACGAACAAGTTTTGTATGGACGACGGTTTTTGTCTACAGCGTTACTATAAAAAAGTATTTTTGTTTATTTTATCTACAAAAGTAAATTAGTTTAGTAGAAGTAAAATAAGTCTAATTTTATAATAAATTTTGAAAATCCTTGATAATAAATGAATTTTTCGTCATTATTTCACTATGAGGACAGCAAAAGAGTACCTCAAAAGTTGATTCACCCATAAACAAGGGAGTTACTGTAGTACATTTTTGACGGAAATCGCCAATACTTTTTAATAGACTCGTGGGGTTGTACTTTTTTAGTGATAAGTAATAGGAAAATATCCTTTATCAAATGAATCAAAAACTACTTACTAGATATCTGCGCTAGATGCGGCCTAGATTTCTGCGCTGACGGGTTGGTGAGCGAAGGGCCTCACGCCAACACAACTACTTCGCACTACAAGTGCGTATACTGTCGACCAATGAGGTTTGTAGAGGAGGATGCAACTTAAGTTCAGCTCATTTAGATGGATATTCCACGAGTCGATCCTTTTCTTCCTTCTTTTTTAACTATGTGAAAGGCCTATCCATATATTATATGCCCCGCTTTGCAGAGGCAAGTACAGATTATGCCATACGAACCAACTAAAACCGTATGTTATTAGACTTTCGTCACGTACGCCTATATGGCCACGGGAAACCTTCAGCTCACATCCGCGAAAAAGCAAACGAGTCGCCAGGAAAAATGAAAAACTTGGAAGCACCAGCCTTGCCGGCTCCAAGTGGCGTTAATAATAAAAATTGCGATTGCAAATAATTTTATTTATTTAATGCACTTCCATTGATTTCTTGGCATCGGACACTAAGCAGTTTATCTTTTTAACTTTTGTCGTTACAGCGGCAATTCCATGTTTGGTAAGCGGGTTGGTATCCGCTGTTCCCTCTGTCTCGTCTTACACACCTTCAGGATGATATTATTGGACAGTGGATATTCTTACACCGCCACTACACGGTGTCTTTTAGTCTACTATTATTATATCCATCCTGGTTCAACGAAGGTAGAATTCACGAGAGACACTATAAGTCGGATAGTTCATACAAAAATATTGTAATTTGAGTTGCCTATACAATCCAAGATATATACAATAAGAATGTTGAAAAAAATTATTTACGAAAAAAAGCAACAAAAATACTCTTTTAATGAAAACAAATTAAATCACAAACATGACATGAACATGGACAAAATAAAGATCATGTTCAATGTCCATGTCACATCTATGCCGGTAGTTGTTGGGAGCACTATGCTCGAAGTTGTTGACGAGTACGTTTACCTGGGACAAATAGTCTGACTAGGTAAGTCCAACTTCGACCGAGAGGTCAATCGACGGATTCAACTCGGCTGGGCAGCGTTCGGGAAATTACGACACATCTTTTCGTCAGGTATACCTCAATCTCTGAAAACTAAAGTGTACAACCAGTGCGTGTTGCCAGTGATGACTTACGGATCAGAGACGTGGTCCTTCACTGCTGGCCGTATGAGGACGCTCAAGGTCGCTCAGCGAGCTATGGAGAGGGCTATGCTCGGAGTTTCTCTGCGTGATAGACTCAGAAATGAGGATATCCGCAGTAAAACCAGAGTGACCGACATAGCCCAACGGATTAGTAAGCTGAAGTGGCAATGGGCGGGCCATATAGCTCGAAGAACCGGTAGGCGTAGTGTAGGGCGACCCCCCACTAGATGGAGTGACGACCTGGTAAGACATGCAGGAAGTCGATGGATGTAGGTGGCTCAGGACCGTGCTTTGTGGCGTTACTTGGGGGTGCCTATGTTCAGCAGTGGACTTGTGAAGGGCTGTAATGATGATGATGATGATGAAATTAAATCACATTCATTTACATGTCCAGTTTCATCAGGCAGATTTTTATGCCTGAGCACAACTCGAGGTCATTCATAAAATTAAACCAATCAGTAGTATTGATTTTACAGTTATGTAAAATGAAAAATGTTGCTGAAGAGGTAAAAATATGTTACGACTATCGTTGTGTATTTCTGTTTTATACAATCTTCAGGTTTCGATGGAACCAAAATCTAAATGAATTTCTATGTCAGTCTGGTTTTTACCCACTTATTTTTCTTCCTGCCATCACCCAAGTTATTTGGGGTTGCCACAGCATGTTTTTCTCTTCTATTCAACTCTATTAGCCGTAATTTATTCACTCACTCCTTTCTTACGCATATCACATCCCCTAATACACAGTCCCTAATACAGTCATTCCATCTTTTCTTAGGCCTCTTTCTACCCTAATATCTCTATCTATATATACTATGTAGTTTTTACACAAAGTATATATTATATATTTACTTTTGAGCATATATTACTATAACGTTTCCCTTTAACTTCATCATATTAACTGTTTCGTTAATATTCCGTTAATAGATATATATGTTGGCAAACTGGATAGTACCACAGAAATCGTAATTTGTCTATTATTACTATTTCTGTGGATAGTACCATGTCCAAATCTTCTGAATGATTGTTGAATTCATGGGCTTAAGAGTCGAATATTGTTCCAGTTTGGTTTTTACGCTGTTAATGGATATATGCTGACAGTGACAGTGAGCTATGGATAATACCATGTTGCAGCCTATTGAAGTCCACTGCTGAACATAGGCTTCGCCCCTGGATTGCCTCATAGGGGAGATATTTGCTATAGTTGCCACGCTTAGCAGGTTGGCAACCGCAGTTTTTTTTATTTTTAGTCGTTATTAGAAAGACGCTGCAGTCCATCTTCTTATTTTTTCCCTCTGTCGCCTCTTACGACACCCACGGGATGACATGGGGTAGTAGATATTCTTACACAGCTGCTATTCGGTAAGTGCAATTTTCAAATCTTTTAAAAGATTTTTGAATCGATGGGCTTTAACCGAATAGTGTTTCAGTTTCTCGTTGAGCGACCAAAAGATAACGTTCAAACTAACATCATGTTAAATCCAGTCTAAACCGTTGCAGTGTTGCGATCGAACCACTTGAAACTATAATAAAGCGTATACGCTCAGTAAACTGAAAGCCATTGCCGAAATGTTAGCTTTGGCACGATCTCCATTTCCCTTCCAGCAGAAATAGACGTCGGATTTAAGCCGTTGCAGATTGTTTAGTTTTCAAATTAATGCCCCGCTATCCTTGTCATTGCTTTGAAGAATGTTTTATCTGTTGCATAACATTTTTCGTTTAGTCTGTCGCAAGAGTGCTATTAAAAGATTTCTCAGTTTTTTTTTTTTTCAAAAATATATATTTACTGTTGATCTCAAGAAATAAAAGAAAAATATTATATCCAACAATCTTCGGTAGTTGAATATTCTTATGACTGCATGAAGACATGTCTTCGAATATTTTTTTTTCCTATTTCTCAGACATGGTGGTTTTCTCACGATGTTTTCCTTCATCGCCGAGCACGTGGTAAAATTGCGATTAACAATATCATTAATGCCGACGGCGGTCGAACCCTGGTTGCTCACGTACTGTGAAATTTACAGTCAGTGTTTACCCCCTTAGCACCTACAATGTATGGTTCTTAACTATCCATGCATTTGACAACTCCACTCGGTATTCAGGTCATTGCTTTGTCATGCGAAATTTAGAAGATACTTTTTTGTGCACTTTCATTATATAAAATAACGTAGCGATGATTAACTTACATCTTTCTAAATGCGTTATTGTTGTCATCGGATATGTTATTTCATCAAATATAACACATTAAGCTCGTTATTATTTGCGTCCATTTGTCTTAAATGAACAAATAACCGACTTTCTGTCCAGGAGGATATGTATTGTACTAGATGTACCCTGAATGCATTGCAATGCCTCTTTTGCCGCTCACGGCATCTCGCCATTGTTTCATAGTTATCGAATGAATGGTGTAGAAACACATAGAAGACGATCGAACAAACAAATATTCATTAGTGTTTATGTACCGTCCCGGGGATGTCCGTGTGTGGCCGAAACGGATCTGGTACAAGTTTTAGACCACTATACTAGTCATCGTCCTCGGGTTGCGAATAGCAACTTGATTGCCCGACACACCAGGAGCCTCGTTTATTGTAGAGGATCACCCATAACTGGCGCAGATCGTGATGAGTCTTCTAAAGGGATCTATACACTGACAGACATGGATTCACAGGCTACGGCCTGACACTCCGTACCCCCAATTAGCTTAGCTGATATCGCTGACTGTTTAGAAAGAGATTAACAGTCATAAAATGATTTTCAACACCATTGTCTACTGCCACTTCATATATAATAATTATATTGCGCGTAAAAATAACAACATTTTTGTACACTATTTAAACATATAGTGGCAACGTTTAATTGACATCTAATGTAATATTACATAAAGACTATGTCAGTTATTAATAAGAATCTTGGCAACTACATGAATCTAAATTAAGCGCTGATGATATACGACATGTTGCACAACGGACAATAATTTCCAGCCATGATCGATCGTTCAGCCAGTTTCAAAGCCAACTGTGTATCATTATAACTATATTATATATATATATATATATATATATATATATATATATATATATATATATATATATATATATTATACGTGGTAGAGCCATGCTGCAGTTATATTTGTAGTATAGTTGTAGCACGAATGGGTCGGCTCGACCTGGGAAGGACCACGCTCTCACAGAATACCAGCGTGAAATAGTAGCTTAATGCTGCTGTATTTCGTATGGTGTAGAGAACCGGAGACCCTTTTTACTGGAAACGAGGCATTCCATCTCAGTCCTCACGGGTGACAACGCATCTGCATTTTGATTTTTAATGGAGGATAGATGTAGATGTCTATGGGCCGCAACAACCACTTACCATCAGGTGGACTGTGTGCGCGTTTGTCACCCTATTCTATAAAAAAAAATGAAAAAAATACTCGTATTGAAACATATACAGGGTAATACTTTGTTGGAAGCTAAAACCTATAAAGCCAATATTCGTTTAGTTCTGCTATATCATTAATACGTAATATACTCAAGGCGGACTCAATGGTATGTTGCCAACATAGGCAACACCTCATCAGCGGCCCTCTGGCGCCCATATTCTACTTATTTTGATAATACACTATATTACGATTGATAAAAGATATTATCTGTAAAATTATAAGTAGGCCAGGATACGTGTACTCTTAACAAACGGGCGTGAATGAAAAATGTGGTAAGAGAGCGGGGGCGATGTAGGAGTAAAGTAACGTGACACGCTTCGGATGCGCTACATCTCTACAGAAAGTATGATTTTGTATTTTATGTAAGTAGGTAAAGGCAAAGAGCGGTTGTAGTTCAGATGGCTAGCGCTCACTGTGAATTTCACAGTGAGCGGGCCACTTGGGTTCGATCCCCGCTGGCACCAATGAAGTTGTTAATTGCAATTTTAAATGCTGATTTACCACGTGCTCGGCGGTGAAGGAAAACATCGTAAGGAAACCTGCATGTCTGAGAAATAATAAAAAAAAATATTTCGAATATGTGAGGTTCGCCAACACATATCGGGACAGCGCGGCACTTCCTTGCCCTAAAACCCTCTCAGAAATGAAAGAAGGCCTGTGACCAGCAGTAGAACGTATATAAGCTGTAATTTAACTAACTTAAGTAGGTTACTTATTTTGTTTAGTTTGCGAACTCCTTTTTGTATCCTCGCGCCCCTGGGCACGTTCCAAGTTTCGGTACTGGGTCCGGAAGCAACTAGATGTGACAATAGCGTAATAGTCGTGAATTCTAATTCGTTTCGACAATTACTGTCCCGAAACACTGTGGAATGGTTAACGGTTAATTTGAGTTTGAATTTGCAATATTGTAAAGCTAATAATAATAATTTATTTGCAAGAAATATGCTAGTTAGAGGATTAATCGTTTGGTATGGTACAATCATATTTCGCCAGTGGCATGCAAATATATATTTTTATAATTGTCAGTCTAGTGCTATATAAATGTTCTATAGATATCTATGATTAATTACAAATTAGTGAAAAACCTAAGAATAAAATGTCACAAGATAAATAACACACATATACATAGACGTTAACAATAAACAAGAAAATAATACAAAATTTGATCCAGTCTTAATGCCAAAATAAAATAAAATAAAAAAATAGAAAATGTCAAGTTTAGGTGTACATGTCAACAGTTATCAAATCAAGTCAAGATTATATTAAACATCACTTTGGTCTATAACAATAAAATTCATCAAGGGAATAAAAACAATTCTGAATAAGCCATTGCTTCAATGTTTTTTGAAAAAAGTTAAATGGCAATTTTCGTATATCACTGGGGATTTTATTATATACTCTTATACACATATTGGGACAACTCTTCTGATAAAAGACAGTTTTACACTTTCGTAAATTTAGTCTTGTAACATCTCTATGCGGAAATGTTTTATCTGTATAATTGTCAATACATACAATAGATGTATTGTATAGCATCGTTAGCATATTTTATAGAAAAAAATAATGTCGTGATGTTTTCAACAAGTGTTTATTTTTATATAACGGGAGTTACAATTGAACTTACAGTCCAAGTGAAGTGATCTTCAACAAGTTCAACGAGAAATAATGTGTTTGATAATTTTGTTAGTTAGATGTATTTATCGAAGTCTTTATTGTAAGTTCATACCGGCATTTGTTATAGGCGGCGCCTCTCTTACGACGCTCACGGGGTTAACTGGGGTGGTGAATTCTTTAACACCACACCACACGATCCACATCTATACATGTAAATAAAATTAAAGTGTGAAAAGGGAGCTGGTTCTTTGTATGTTATTGAGACACGGAAAACAATTTACAAATACCTTCTCTTTTAAAAAAAGAGACAGACAGACAGATTTTTTACAAACGAGCACACAGTTCATCTGATGATGGTGTGTGGTTGCTGTGGCCCATAGACATCTATTACGAATTAAAATACAGATGCGTTGTCACCCTTGAGTACTAAGATGGAATGCCTCGTTTTCAGTAAAAAGGGTATCCGGTTCTCTACACTCACCATACGAAACACAGCTGCATTAAGCTGCTATTTTATGCTGGTATTTTGTGAAAGCGTCATCCGTCCCCGGTCGAGCCGACCCTTCGTGCTACAACTATAATACTAATATCGCAGCATGTTTGGCTCTAGCACGTAAAACGTCTGTCCGGGCTAAGCTCCGGAATAGCTGAACGAATTGTAATAAAACTTGAAGAACAGATAGAGAGCAATGTCAGGAGTGTGATGTCTTAGCGATATTTACCCGAAAACCTTGGAGATTTTTTGAGTTATCGAAAAATTGATGATGAAATTAATTAACGCCAAATTAATAGATGTAGCCATGGTAGCTCAAATGGTTAACGCTCTCTGTAAATATAACAGAACACGCGTAACCCGGCTTTGATCCCCGCTGGCACCAATGAAATTGGTAATTGCAATTTTGCGTGCTGATTTACCACGTGCTCGGGGGTGAACCTCGTGAGGAAATCTGCATGTCTGAGGAATAAGAAAAAAAATTATTTCGAAGATATGTGAAGTTCGCCAACACGCATTGGGGCAGCGCAGCGGACACTTTCTTGCCCTAAAACTCTCTCAGAAATGTGGGGAGGCATGTGCCCAGCAGCGGCACATATTATAGGCTGTAACTTTACTTTACTTTTTTCTTTACATTAATAGATCGAAGCGAAGCCGGGGCGGGGCTAGTCTACATATAATGCTTTATTTACAGACAAAACATGTCCTTTTATTTATAAGCACTTATTTATGTATAATGGTCACACCTGCCAACAATTGGTTGGCTGGCCCAGGGTTTACTGGCAGAGAATGCCACATGGCATTAAGTCCGCCCTATGTATCCTTTAGCTTAAGTTTTTAAATATATAAATAAGATTTACTCGACTTACAATCAGTCCTCAAACAACAACAGATTTTGGCACGAAAACAAAATGTCCAGATCCACCTGTCCCAGTTCTTCCCGTGAGAATACTAACAATTCTCATTGTTTTGGCACTATAATTAATGTTTTACACGTACGTCATTAAAATTCTCAACGTCTTTTAAAATTTATTTGAAATAAAACATGCGACAAACGACAAGTCAATCACTAAATATAACAAAGAAACATGAATTCGCTTATAACCTAAAACTACTATTGATACATTTTGATGCGTTTTTCAACATAAATTAAAGAATTTCAGAACGAAGGTTTGTTAAAGGAAGGAAGTTGTGCATATTTTATGTAAGGTTTTACCCCGTATTGCGGCGGTGTAAGAATATCCAGTACCCCATATTATCCTGTGAGCGTCATAAGAGGCGACGCGACGGAGGGAAACAAATAAAGAGATTGGCAACAGGGTCTTCCTAATAATAAATAAGGAACTGCGGTTGCCAAACCGCGTGCCAAGCGTGGCAACTATGGCAAATGAGAGGCTGAATCTGAGCAGGGCCTATGTTCGGCTGTGGGCTTTTGAAAGGCTTTAGCGGTATGTATATACCTACCATAAACAATAATAATACATATTTCGTGTCTGAAGATTATAAGTAAACAGCAACCTTCTAAAGGTTTTGGACAGACGACTAGAGAAATGCTCGCATTTTGCGATCAAGTCGTAAAAAGATACCACAATGGTAGTAGTTGAAATACAATAACATGACTTTATTTTTAAAAATAAATGAATCTAATTTGTACATAATCACTGTACTGTAATGATAAAAGTACATTATAATGGGTTACATCTACTAAAGTTATAAAGCAATACCACCCATCCAGCAGATTACAAGAGGCCTGTTACAGATTTAAAACTAGAACAAAAGTAAGTAGAAACATAAAACAGATGAGACCAATTATTTCGGAATATCACGGATAGATCTATTGAAGAAATTTGGATTTGAAACTTGAATATCAACATTTGGATAGGCCTGGGATATATAATTGTAAAGGCGACACATGCTAACAACTGGGTTGTAATACGATGTGTTGTTACAGTACACTTGGAGTGAAAACAGTTTAGGCTTGCGATCACAAGCCCTGTAGTGAATGTGCAAGCAGGGACGGAGAATCAATAGTAGAGTGTACTATTTTATGTAAGCCCGAACCTTTTGTGTCTCGTTTCCAAGGTAACCATGTTGCGTTAGTAACCATGACGAAATCTCTCAATTTCTAAAATAAATCAACTAAAATCTATCAATTTTATTAGACATGATAATCCAACTTTAGGCAAGGTTGTACAAATAAATTTAAAACACGATTTTGACGCTCGAGAATCGATATAAAAAAATTATTGGCGAAAATCTGTGACGTTCGAGTACTCGTTTTATTGAGCGATAACCATATTATAATATTTTTGATGGTATGAAAGGCATGTTATAATGATTTAGATTCTTAATCAGCTACATTTTCTTTAGATCTTTATTTCCCGATATTAAGCTAAAACTTTTCAAATAAAGTAACTTTTTGTCTAACGAATGTCTACCTACAATACATACAAAATGGAAATTTTGAAAACGTAAAAAATATTACACTATATAAATTATGTTTCTTGCCGCAGAGGGCTACGGGAAAGCAAATGGAGCGACCAGTCCAGCATCGTCTAGACCGACCGTCGACTCTCTGCTCGATCAACTCAGCACTGACGTACCTAACGGGTAAGCTGTACAATGAAATAATAAGCACCGAAACTATAACAACAAACTGTTGTAAGTTGTCTGTCATACAGCAAGTACTTAGGTATTGGAACTTTCACTGCTGGTGTTGCGACTGTCGTTTTCATCGGTTCAATGTCTATAGCTTTATAAAAATAAAAGAAAAGAAGATTTGGCCACCAAACGCGGCTTATAGCAGACATATTTTTTACCTAGGATTGCGTCGGGGTAGGTTTCACCCTCATCGGTCTGAAGGCTACAGAGAGTGAGTATAATTAAAGGATGTGAGGCATTCCATCTTAGTCCTCAGAGACGACAAAGCATCTGTATTCTTCTTTGTTTAAATTTGCTTGTAGGTGTCCATGGCATGGACTGTTAGGCACTTACTATAAGCACTTACAAAAAATTGGCGAGCATCATGCCCGGATAAATCGTGCCCATTAAAATTTTCTTTCTTTGGGTTTATGCTCTTTTTATTTATGACTACTAGATTTTCTTGGTTTTTCTGGAGTTATTCCGTTTATACACCCTAAGAAATTTACCCTAGGGTGGATACTCGGAAACGCGTGTTCGTTTATCCACCCTAGACGTGGTGGATAAGCAGAATTCACTTTTTGGATTGTCTTTCCGCCTTTCCACCCCAAATACAGTTCAACAGGAAATATATTCATACTTTAACATTTTTTCATCATCATTACAGCCCTTCACAAGTCCACTGCTGAACATAGGCCTCCCCCAAGTAATGCTACAAAGTATAAATACTTTAACATATTATTGATTAATTTTTAACAACCACAAACAAACAACCGTGAGGAGCCGTGGTAGCTGGTTAACGCTCGCTGTAAATATAAGAGAACGCGAGTAACCCGTTCGATCCCCGCCGGCACCAATGAAATTGTTAATTGCAATTTTAACTGCTGATTTACCATATGCTCGGCGGTGAAGGAAAACATCGTGAGGAAACCTGCATATCTGAGGAATAAGAAAAAAAATATTTCGAAGACATGTGAAGTTCGCCAACACGCATTGGGGCAGCGCGGCGGACACTTCCTTGCCCTTAACCCTCTCAGAAATCAGGGGAGCCTTGTACTCAGCAGTGGGACGTATATAGGCTGTAAATTCACTTTAACTTCACAATCAAACAAAAATCGTATTACATATTGCATTTAAACTAAATTAAACTTCCATGTTTTAAATAATAATAAGTAATTTGGTGCAATTGTGCAAGTGCAATATGTCCAGAAAATGAAGAACACTAGTTTCATTATTGAGTAGACGTAATTGTATATCCTGTATAAATTCGTCTCTCAATAAAAGAAAATTTAAAATTTGTTAAGTACCGTACATACTGGGTATGTTCCGAAATAGAACCCAGTGTCCTGTCCAATGCAAGTGACGTCATGAATCGACGCTATACTAGTGATTTGTTCCAAAACGTAGGCCAGTATATGACGTCATACATTTGCCCCATATTGGAAAAGTGTTGGCGATTATTTTGTCATTTTGTGCTCCAAAAATCATTATATCCTCCTAATGGAGATACCAGCAATTATTCTATAATTTTTTGTATTTGAATAAATAAAAACAATTTCTGACATGCTTCATTCAGCGCACACACAATAAAAAATTGTTTTGTTTTGGCCGTTTGTCCGACGCAATATGGCGGCGGCACGCCAGTACAACATAGTGTCAATTGATGACGTCATTTGTATTCGGCAGTATACTGAAAACGTTTCGGAAAATACCCATAGTGTCAATTGATTTACACTATTTGAGTTAAAAGCGACAGTAGCCTAATGGCAGGGCGCGGATCGCGAACTCAAAAGGTCGTGGGTTCAAATCCGCCATTTGACTACTGTGGTGAACCACTCCTAACACAAGCGTTTCAATCTTACCAGGAGTGGTTAAAAGGAATATTAGTAATGTTAATTAACAAGATTACTAATATTTAAAAAAAATTGATATCGTCATTTGTATTCGGCAGTTTACTGAAAACGTTTCGGAACATACCCACTATGTCCAATACTGTGTTTATATAGTTAAACATATATTTATTTATAATCAACCAAATCTACGAAATACCTTTTGACGTTTCACATTAATCATTCCGCAATAACTTTGCACAAGCGCACTCACACGATTTAAAATAACCTTTTACGTAAAACCGAAGAATTATGAAGTTATCTATATTTCATTACAACGTATATAGTTTTTATCACTAATTTAAATTCGAATGTTTCAAACAAAGCAAAATATTAAAAAATAACCAGTATCAACTTTTTTAATTAACATCGTTTCAATTATATGTCGCTATGTACTGTACCGTAGTGTTTGGACGATTAAAATTCATTGTTATGCGAATAATCGGCAAAAGTATTAAAATAATCGAATCATTCATTTTATTTGATGTATTATTTGTTTAAATAAATTTTTATTTTTAAAATTCCTCGTACTACATGAATCATGTATAAAATAAGTTTATTGAAATAATACTAGTTTTTACGGAATTTATCGCGTGTATTTAACTTTTTAAATTACCCGACGTTTCGAACGCTTTACAGCACTCATGGTCACGGGCAGGACTGAGATGTTCAACGTCCATATGTCATAGTTAACCGCGGTTACCAGATTAAAATTTAACTTTTGTTCCGATCTATGCAGTATGAACTTATTGTATCTTGAAGTCTTGCAGTCGTATGCTTGGGTTGGGATTTAATTTTATTTATTATAAGATCCCAAGCAGATGGTAGCACCCAGCCATCTTCTCTATTGAAATTAGGATGTTTTTTGATTTCAATAGCCTCGCGAATCATCCTTGGAAGGAATCGGTGTTCTTTAGCGAGGATCTGCGGTCTATCAAATCTGATGTAGTGACGGGGGCGATCCTGTACGTGTTCACAGACTGCAGACTTCCCGGAGCGTCGATTCTTCACATCAGCTATATGTTCTTTAACGCGGGTTTTTATTGATCTTTTAGTTTGTCCTATGTAGGAGAGACCACATTCACAATCAAGCTTGTACACTCCTGCATCTTGCAGAGGGACATTACACTTGACCGATGGTAAAAGCTGACCAATCTTCTTCAGCGGCTTGAAGTATGTTTTGATGGAAGCGCGCTTCAAGATGTAGCCAATCTTGTCAGTGACTCCTCTAACATATGGCAGTACAGCAGGTACACGCTCGACTGTGGACGGCTTCACTCGTTCACTGTGACGTAGGCGCGGGACTCGAAGCTTGTTGTCATGCAAAACTTGCTTGACATGGTGGAGCTCTGCAGCCAGGTGTTTACTGTCACAGATCCCTCGTGCTCTCTGAAACAAAGATTTACCCACGGTAGCTAACTGTGAAGGATGGTGGTGAGAATCACCGTTTAAATATCTCTCTGTATGGGTCTTTTTTCTATACACAGTATGGCTCAAGGTGTTATCAGGATTCCGAATTACTAACACATCTAGAAAAGCTAAGGAATTGTTTGCCTCTAACTCCATTGTGAACTGAATTTTAGAATTTATAGAGTTAAGATGGTCTAAAAATGCAGTTACTTTATCTAAAGGTAGAATTGTGAAAGTGTCGTTTACGTACCGCTTGTAAAACCTTGGATTTATGGGAGAACTAAGCAGGGCTTTCTCCTCAAAGTCTTCCATGAATATGTCGGCGACAATGGGAGATACAGGTGAGCCCATCGCCACACCATCTACTTGCTTGTAGAACTTCTCCTTCCACAATAGGTAGCCAGATGTAAGGCATTGTCTGAGTAATACTGCATATTCTACGGGCATGTTGTTTTCTTCCAGCCTTCTAGTTACAATTGAGATGCAGTCTTCAACAGGTAAGCATGTAAACAATGACTGCACATCAAAACTGACCATGGTTTCATTGTCTGCCAGATGTAGGTCTTTAATCTCGCTGACAAAATGGTAGGAATCCTTTATGTGTGCTCTTGTATGTCCCCTGAGAGGTGAGAGTATTTTCGCTGAGTGTTGAGCCAATCTGTAAGTTGGTGAATCGATTTGGCTCACTATGGGACGTAATGGAGCATTGGGCTTGTGTATTTTTGGTAACCCATACAATTTTGGTGATTTGGCGCACGTAGGTATTATCCATTTTACGTCCAGATTTAATTTTTCGGAGTGTTTCTTTATGAGGTCACTAGTTGTTTTTAGTGTGCTATTTGTTGGGTCGTTTTTAACCTTTTTTATAAGTACTTACATCCGACAAAAGTTCTTGTATTTTAGAATTATAATCTGACGTATCCATGACTACCGTGGCGTTTCCCTTATCTGCGCGGAGAATCGTAAGTTCGTGTTTATTGCGTAGGTTCTTTAACGCTATTAATTCGTCTTTGGGAAGATTCGGTTTAGGCACTGAACATCGACGTAACATAGACGAGATGTCTTGACGTATCGCCTCCAAATCTTCTTTCCGCATATTGTTTTTAAATAAACAGTCCTCGACACTACAGATAATTTCTTCGTACGGTAATTTGCGGGGTGTAATTGCTAAGTTGAGGCCTTTGGATAAAACCCTAATTGTTGCATCATCCAGTGTTTGTTTTGACAGATTATAGAGCGCGATTAATCTATGATCTGTGTTTGTCAATGGTTGCTTTCGGTTCTGGCATTGATTCAGATGTTTGACATTTGACTTGTTCGTTAATTTTTGATATTTTTCTATATGTTTGTTTTTGCATTCATTATATTTACTAATTTCGCGTTTATTTAATGTTTCCATGCAAAAATTATAGTCAAACGTCGATAAAACTTTCTTCAATTCACTGGATGATGTGTCTATGGATTTGTTTATGTCATATAGATCGGAGCGTTTTTGTTGGATTACCGTCCGTAACAACTTTTTACTCACCTGATTTAAGATCTTAACGCTTCCTCGAATGCCCTTTTTGGTAGATATTTTAACACACGTAGGAATGAGATTATGGTCACGGCATCTCTTCAAGAAATTTAAGGCTGTTAGATATCTTGCGCGCTTGGTCTTTAGATCTTCTA